ATTTTTGCGGAGTTTCCATAGAATTCACATTAAATTTTAATTCCTCTTGAATCGAATTACTTGAAGTTTCAGTGAAATTCCGATCGAATTACACGAAATCCTAAATGAATTACATGGAGGAATTTTAAACAATTACATGAAATTACACCGAAATTCCCAACAAGAAATTTCAGTTTTTACTGAATTTTAGTAATGCCGAGGAATTTCCAGCTAGAAACATGGAATTTCGGTGATGTTCTGAAAAATTCCTTGAAGTTTCATTGAACTTTCGAGAAATTTTGGCTATGAATGTAGATATTCTCATAAAATTTTGGTGATTTCCGAGAAATTTTTAAGAAATTACATAAAATGTCAATGAAATTCCGTAGAATTTTATATAAATATTGTGGAATTCCAGGATATTTCAGTGGTAAAATTTTGAGGAATTTTAGTAAAGGTAAAAAAAAAATATGGAATTTTGAAATTGAAATCTTAGTGGAATTCCGAGGAATTTCATAAAATCCTATACTGTGATTCCGAAAAAAAATTGTCCAAGAATTCCATAAAATCTTCTAATGAAATGTTAAGGTATTTATTTCTATGAAATTACTTGAAATTTTCGCGGAATTCCTATAGAATAACTTAAAATTTTAATGGCATTCCAAAGAACTTTGATGAAATCTTCGAGAGGTTAACCACTCCCCGAAGTCACAAATTCGTCCGAAATCCACGAAATCACTCCGAAATCCCTTCGGAATCTTTCAGAAATCTTTCCGTAAACCCAAAAATCCCTCGCAATTGGCTAAATTCATAAATCGGCCAACGCGGCCGTTTTTCAGTTTATACTGATACACTTTTGAATATACTTATAAGATAAGTAACAGTTTGAAATTAAATTGAAATATTTGCGAAATCACCTGAAATTCTCCGAAATCTTTCGAAATCACCCGAAATCTTTCGAAATCACCCGAAATCAATCGAAATCCCTCAAAATCGCTCTAAATCTGAAAAATTTTGGAAAAATGAGCCTTTAACCTTTTTCCTCGCATGCAAAAAGTTTCAAATTTTTTTTCTAGGAAAACATTGAATTATGTGAGACTTTTCAATTAATTCAGTTATTGTAGGTTGATTTCCAAGATTCTTTATGTTGCTATTTTCCACTGGAAAAATTTGAAATTTTGAGGAAATAAGCTTCTAATCTTATTCTTTATATGCAAAAAGTTTCAACTTTTCCCCCAATTAGTTTTTTAGGAAAACTTTGAAAGTGAGAGACTGTATTTTCCAAGAGGCAGAACCACCTTGGAATTCTTTGTTAAAAGCTTGGAGAATTTATAGGGAATTTGGAAAAATTTATGGGGAATTTGGAGGATTGTGTTCGATGTTAGACAAATTCCAAGGAATTCTCGTCGAATTACACCTACATGGAATTTCTTGAAATCTTGTTGTGGAATTTCAGGGAAATTATATCGAAACCGAAAAATTACCTCGGAATTAAACAGAATTTTCGTGGAATTTCCATGGAACATGGAACCACAAAAAATTTCGGTGGAATTCCGAAAACTTGAATTAAATTTTAATGAAATTCTGAGTAATTTCTGTCGAAATTTCATGAAATCTTCTACTTAATTCCGAGGAATTTTTGTACAAGAATTCCATTGAATTTTATGGTGGAATTCGGAAGTATTATGAAATCTTATGATAAAATTTCTAGGACTTTCTGTTTTTCCATTTAAATTTGTCATTTGAATGGAATTTCGAGGATTTCTATAAAATCTTAAAAAAAAAAATTCTGAGGAATATCTATGGAATTATAAAAATTTTCGCAGAATTCCCATGAAATACTTATCGTTAAGGATCCCCTAAATTAGTTGGTAAAAACGCCATAAAAACCGTTTCTAAATTCCCTAAAATGATCCATAATCATATAAAATCTCATAAATCTAAAATCTTTTAAAATTACATGAAGTTTTTTAAAAATCCTCAAAATCCTACAAAATCAATAAAGATTCAATTATGCACACATTTTATGAAGGTAACTGAACTTCGAGCGGTTAAAATTGATAAAAATTTGTATACAAGTTGGTCAAAAACCCAGAAAAACTCGTAAGATCTACTCAAAATCACTGAAAATCTTTTAGCCTCCTCACTTGAAATAGTCACGAGCCGCCAATGGTTATTAAGGCATTTTAATATTTATTGAAATTTGCAACACTGAAAATATCCCATTGACAACATGTCAGAAAATTAAATTAAATACCTATGTAATAACCTGTAGAATTCGAAGGTGAATTTTCGGGGATAATACCACGAGAGCTTCAAAATTACCGATAATTTTTCGAGTGAAATTTGCAGAGAAAACACGCATGAGTGAAAAATTATCTGGTTCATTTTAAAGCTTAAGTGGTATTTAGAGGATTATTTCACGTATGAGAATGCAAAAAATATGGAAATAAATATGTATTAAACGATTTGAACATCCTAACAATCAATACAAATAAATGGTTGCTATCAGGAACCGTTTGTTTGTATCAAAAATTAGCATGACAACCATGTATACAATAACATGGGAGAATTATCGCTGTAATTTTCTCTAGTTAAACAAATGGAAAATAGAATTTTCGCTGTAATTCTGAAAATCGTCACTTGTCTTATGGGATTTGTAACACATGAGTGGAATAATCACATTTACCTCTTCATATTACCAAGAATAATGCTGAAGAAGGATTTTTTCAATTATTTTTCTAGGGTTTCTCAAAGGGTCTCCTACTACTGGAGAGCTTTCACGTTATTTTTCGGACACCCTGTATTTATGGTAAGTATCATCGAGCTTGTATTTATTTTCTCCTCATTTATCATTTCTTTATAATCGGTTTTTGACTATTCCAGGTTCTTAAATTTCTGATTTCTTTAAAGTTTATTTTTATAAGAAAGTAAGAAACATTCAAGAGTCTGGAATTTCTTGTCTCTATTTTTTATTTCTTCAGTGTCAATCTTTGTCTATTCCAGGCTTCTGAATGTTCCTTACTTTAATTTAGAAAAAAACAGCAATTCAAGAGCCTGGAATAGTCAAAAATCGATTCTAGAGAAATGAGAAATAAGAAGATATTCAAGAAATCATTTGTAATCTCTTGAATTTTCCTCAGATTTCTCAGGCTTTTCTCATTTCCTCTATGCACTTTCTTAGGTAATATGTACTTAGTTGGTATTCCCCAAATTTTGCAAAGAATCATTCTTATGGGTAAATATTATTGGTGCTTTCCCGGAGTTTCTTTGAAGTTTCTCTAACTTTTCTGAACTTCTTCAGTACTTCTTCGGACTTTTTTCATTTTCCTAACGCTTTTTTAGGTAATGGTGAATTCTTCCCAGGAGAACGAGAGAATAAAGAAAATTCAAGAAATTGCAAAAGATTTTTTTTATTTTTTCTCCTTATTTCTACGATGATAATCGATTTTTCCAGGTTCTTGAATTTCTGATTTTCTCAAAATTCATTTTTATATGAAAACAAGAAACATTTAAGAGATTGGAATTTCTCGTCTATATTTTTTATTTCTTCAATGTCAATTTTTTACTATTCCAGGTTCTTGAATATTTCTTACTTTTTTATAAAAATAAATTTAGAAAAAACAGGGATTCAAGAGCCTGGAATACAAATGAGAAATAAAGAGAAGAAATTCAAGGGATTGCAAAAGATTTCTTGAATTTCTTTTTCAATTTTTTAAGTCTTCTCACATTTCCTCTATACACTTTCTTAGGGAGTAATTGCTATTTCCCAAATTTTTCAAATAATAATAATTTCCGTACTTTCTCGAATTTCCTTCGAAGTTTCTCTAACTTTTCTGGACTTCTTCAGTAGGTACTCTTTCGAACGGCCTTTACTTTCCCAGTACTTTTTTAAGTGATAGTAAATTTCTTCCCAGGTGATTTTACCCTCGAGAATAAGAGAATAAGGAAAATTTCTGATTTCTCCTATGTGTTTTTTTTTTTGAAAAATAGAAAACATTGAAGTGCCTGGAATAGTCAAAAATCGATTCTACAAAAATGACGAATCTGGAAAGGAAATTGAAAAAATCTTGAAGGGTAAACCTCGTTGGAATTATGGTGTACAAGCATATTATGTGATTTTTTGGGAATCCGCGTGTGGTTCCAGTGGAATTCCAATAAGATTCCTTAATTTGCCTGATGAATTGATGTTTTTAATATCGTGAGATTTCAGTAGTATTGCGTCGGATTTCAGTAAGATTCTAGTAGGATATCGAAGCATTCCAGTATTATTTCATGGGATTTCGTTAAAAGTGGAAAACCCATCTTGGAATTATAGTGTACAAGCATGTGTGATTCCAATGGAATTCTGCGGGATTTCATAGATTTCCTGTGGGATTCCAGTGGAATTTCAATGGGATTTCTTAGTTTGCTTGATAAGTTTATGTTTTTACTTTGTAGGTACCTATGTAGTGGCGGCTAAACTGAAAAACAAGACTTTTTTGTTCAGAGTCTTTGCTTGCTATCATTCAAAATAATTTCAAAAATACACAAGAAATTCTATGGAATGCCTCGAGGAATTCTATTGGATTCCAGTAGGATTTCGTGGGATTCCGTTAAAAGTGGGATTCTGGTGTAGGTACCTACACATTTTCAAAATGACATTGAGGCACGATTTATTTTATTTTTTGAGGAAAATGGCTGAAGAATTGAATTCAAATTTATAGAAAAAGGATTGAATTTTGAGAAAAAAATAATAATTTCCTTCTGTTCATTTACCTCGATAGAAATCAATAACTTTAAAGACTTTGAATTATTGAAGTTGTATTGAAAATATTGAAATAATTCATTAGACATTTATAGAGGGTTTAATATTCAAGTCTTATATACGTTAAAATCGTATCGAAATTATGAGGCAAAATACTTCAGGCCTTAGAAGCAATGTCTCTTAAATTTGGAAGCAAACATAAAGTTCTTTGTAGTTTATTTTCCATTTGAAAGTTTCCATTATTCTAATTATACCATTTCTGTTCTTTTTCCAGAGTTTAGGCAATCACGAATTCGACCTGACAAGCTCCGTCCTCTCAGAGTTCGTTGATCATCTCGACTCTCCAATCTTGGCAGCAAACTTAAATTTCTCCCTAGAACCCAACCTTGTGGGCAAATTCAACGCGTCTACAATTCTGCACGTGGATGGTCGTAGAATCGGTATCATCGGCTACCTGACACCAGAAACAATTAAAATATCATCCACTGGTAGTGTTGTATTCGAAAATGAAATCATTGCAGTAAAAAGAGAAGCTGATTCTCTTAGGTTACTAGGCGTTAATATTATTATAGCTTTGGGACATTCAGGATATCAAATGGATCAGGCTATAGCCAAAGAAGTTGAACTAGTAGATTTGGTCATTGGAGGCCATACCAATACGTTTTTGTATAATGGAAATCGGCCTGATTCGGAAATAATTGAAGACCCTTATCCAAAAGTAATCACTCAAAAATCTGGAAAACGAGTTCCAGTAGTTCAAGCGTTTGCTTATACTAAATACTTGGGGGTTTTAAATTGTACTTTTAACACAAACGGTGATTTAATAAAATTCGCTGGACAACCTCTTTTAATGGAAACCTCTATACCACAAGAGCAAGACATTCTAGAGCTTTTACACATCTACAGACCAGCAATAGATAATCTCAATAAAGAAGTCATTGGTTATTCTAGAGTTTATTTAGATGGCGAAAGTTCAAATTGTAGATTCAAAGAATGCAACTTAGGCAATCTAGTTACCGATGCTCTAGTTTCGTATGCCATAACTGAATCAACACAAAGTTGGACCAACGTCCCTATAGGCCTTTACAATGGAGGTGGCTTGAGAAATAGTATAAATCCAGTGGGAGATTTAGGCAAAATTACCAGAGGCGATCTCATGGCAGTGCTTCCATTCGGCAACCAAGTGTTTATTTTAACTCTAAAAGGCTCTGATTTGATAGAGGCACTAGAGCAAATGGTTAGAAGCACCGGCGAAACTTCGATGGGCGAATTCCCACAAGTTTCAGGCTTGAAACTGGAACTAGACATGACAAAGAAGCCTTATTCCAGAATAGTATCGGTCAAAGCGAGATGTGGAATATGCGAAATACCTAAGTATTATTTAATAGATCCGGAACAAAATTATACGTTGGTTACTTCGAGTTTTTTGGCTAATGGTGGTGACGGTATAACAGTACTAAAAGAAAAGCCTTTGGAAAGGCGTGAAATGGATGGTGGAGATTTGGACGCGGTGGCCAACTTTATAACTAGACATAGTCCGATTTATCCTGAAATACAAGGCAGGATTAAGTTTGTGAATGGAAAATCAAGTGGCACGAAAATTAGTAGTACTTGGTTGTTGATTAGTTTGAGTTTATTAATGATTTTTGTGAGAAAATATATTGTTTAAATTAGTAAAGATGGTTGTTTTGGATATTATTTTAGGTCCTGTATCAGAAACTATTCCAATTGGATGTCAGTTTTGACTATTTTTCTTTTTAGAAACTATTATATTGGAGCAAAAAGATCGTTTTTCTATGATAATGACAATGGACTTTCAAACAAGGGTACAAAATTAAGTATAACTTTCTTTTCAATCATTTTAGTTATTCAATATTTATCTAAAATCCATATTTTTAATGGTGTTTTTGAAAACAACCAATAGAAAACCTTATAAAATGTCTCTTTCATGACAGGGTTCATATCTTACTTCCTCACATTTTCTCAGGTTTATTGTTCTCAGGCATTTTCCAATCTCCATTGATGTAATATCATTTATTAATCTTTACCAGAATTTTCTATGTGTCGTTCTCTTTACCCAGAAAAATCCATTATCAATACAAATTCATTTTGTGTCAAAAATCCTTCAATTTTATAGGTACTTATTTTATAAATCTTCACACTCTGAACCCATAACCTATTGTAGAAGCAATAGGGCTATTATTCTTAACACACAGAGATCAGGGGCTTTTTATTTGGAAGAATTTATTCTGACTATTGAAAATAAAAAATACAAATATTTCTTTTTCAACAATTAGGTACCTATGTCAACTTTTAGAAAAATCAAAACTAAATTATTACCTATACCTAATCCAATAATTATTGAAAAATTGATAAAGAAGGCACAATTAACATTGAAAATAGGCCCCCGTAAATTTCAAATCAAATTCCAATATTTCAAAGGTATCATTACTGCAGGAAAAAATTTGAAATGTAAAAAGCTCATCAAAGTTAGTAGGCCCTTCTAAGATTGTGGAATTGCGTTTCCTGAGAGGCAATTATTATAAGTTCCCAATAGGATTTTTTTTTGCTGCATCTGGAAGGTAATCCAATAGGTAGTTTCGTCCATTCCAGGAGCAGAAAGGCTTTTTCCCTTTAACCCATTTTTGAGCTCTTGAAGAGTGAAATGTTTTATATTGTCAGGCTCTTCAGCTGCATTGTTGATGATTTTCTGCAGCTTCTCAAAGCTGATAGGTCTGTTTCTGCAGAAAGCACAAATTAGACAACTAATTTCATTGGTTGAAAACAGTTAAAAACAGTCAGGAAACTAGTTTCAACCAATGAGATATACACTCTAACTGGTTTATGATTTCTGCAGAAACAGACCTATAATGTCACTCTCTATAAGATTCACTTCTGTCATGATCCTGTCATGGAACATTTTCCATTCCGCTTTATGGAAGTTTCTAATGGGAAAGGTTTTCATTATGTAGTCCTAATCTATGCCTCTGCCTCTGGAAAGCTAGTCTTATGGTTTATTCTGACCATAGTGGGGTAGTGGTCACATCTATGGTGGTCACTGCTGTCACAATCTGGTAGTACATTCCAAGACGAAATAGGTGCATAGACATCGCTAATTAAAGTAATGTCCACCGCGCTGCTATTTTGTTCTGGAGGTTGGAGGAAGGTAGGTGTTCCCAAGGGGTATTTCACTGGCCACAATATATGTACAAATTTCGGTATAGTATTGCGGCAGTAATTTCTCAATAGCTCAAAATGCCTTGCAATATAATGCAATTCCTTACATTAGTGTACATTACTTTGCAGTAGTCTACAATAATTCGAAATGTTTCACAATACTCTCGCAATTGTCTGCAATACTCTCACAATAGCCAGCAATATTCTCACAATAGTCTACAATATGCTCGCAGTAGTTGATAATATCATTACAATAATCTAGAATACTATCGCAATACCTTACAATAGGCTTGCAGTAGGTAGTTCTTCAATTTTATTTTTATACTTTTGTTGATGAAAATCATTGAGATTATCTTTAAGATTGTCATGTTTTAGTCATTAGTGTATGTTTTTTTTATATTTGATAAGTAATTTGGAATATTTTTGCAGTAGCATATGCTATACCTATATTTAATTTTTGCATTGATTGGGACACAAATGCACATGGCATACGTATTCAACTATCTCTATACCAGCGTCTATCACTCGTTGATTATAAATTAGAATACGGATTTTAATTTTCGTTGCACTTTATTATACAGTTTAGCTCTAACTTAAGAGTGTAGAAAAATGGGAACAACTGTAGAATATAAGGGCGAAATTTTCTTTTCCTTTGGGCCTTTATTCTTGAAACAGGGGTGCAGCATTTCCAAGAGAATGAGTGTTCCGTTTTTGTTACTTATATTATCATTCGCATATCGTTGAGAAAGATGGAACACTCGTTCTCCTGACAACGTTGCTTTCCTGTTTCAAGAATGAGGACCTTGATCTATCGCTCCTTCCTACAGTCCGTCTTTTTGGTCTCGTGTTTGCGTGGCAGTTCTTCAGATGTTAGGAATAGACAATATCCAAGATTATACAGTTAACTGTTTTGACTGACATACTATCCCATAATAGTAGATTATACCACGAGTCAATAATGATAGCTATTATTCCCGAGGAATATTTACGAACTGAGCCGCGTTAGCGACGAGGGTGTAACATTCCGAGGGAATAATAGCCATTATTGCGAGTAGTATACTCTACTTTATTTACGACAAATTAATTTATTTGAAATTTTCTTTCCAAAAACGCTCTTTGTTCATCCATCTCAATACAAATTCACAAGCACTACGCGTTTGACACTGACACTTTTGAGTTTGTTCAGGTAGGTACCTATATTGTTTCCATGGTAGGTATCAATTATTTAATTTGAGAAATTTTGTGATTGGTGTGCAAGCGGGAATAATGAGTAATGACCATTAATCCCTGCGGGAATATAATAAATGGCATTATACTACCAAAATCAAAAATATAATACTCACATTATATGTCAGTTTTAAATAAACAATAATTAACTCTGAACTTGACGCCAATTTCAACAAAGATAAGCTCAATTCGACTGACTCATCTGAGGCTATTCAGGAAAAAAATTGATACCTAATGACGTTGTGATGACAGACAAAGAACCAGAGGAGCTCAACTCTCTTAAAAATTATATGAACAGGGTAGCTATTAATGTTAAAGATTACACTGTTTAGGTAACAGATATGAACAATGGAAGGTTTTCAAAAATACATTTAAAAAACAGAAAGTCAAAGACAGCATGGTGATATTACTATGCCAGTATGTTATGATATTGCGTGGAACATCGCAAAAGTACTGCATACAGACAACAAGAAAAGCAAAGTGAAGTATCTAGAATTGAAGGTAAGTATGCCAGTTTAGATGGCCTGAACAAAATGAATTGATGATCTCATCCATTTTAGTCCCCAGTACATCGACCTTGAAATTTTGTAACTCATGTACACGCCCAACTTCCTGAGCGGCTTCATAACACCAAGTCGGACAATATTTTTCATGTCTCCACCCTGGGCGATGGGACATTGCTGCGCTAGCTCTTCGTGAAGTTGTCGTTCTGACGTCCCTAAGGAAGTTGATACATGTACGTGTGGTTTCAATGCCAATCGACTGTTTTTTACATTACATTAACGATATCACATTTGTCGGACAAAAACCATGTGGCTTTGGGGAAGGTCCGACACCCTCAACATTTCGCTGTGGCGTCCCTGAGGAAGTTGATACATGTACGTGTAGTTTTAATGCTAATCGACTGTTTTTTGTATTACATTAACGATATCATATATGTCGGACAAAAATCACGTGGCTTCGGGGGGGTCCGACGCTCTCAACATGTCGCTGTGGCGTCCCTAAGGAAGTTGATACATGTACGTGTAGTTTTATTGCCAATCGACTGTTTTTTACATTACATTAACGATATCACATTTGTCGGACAAAAACCATGTGGCTTTGGGGAAGGTCCGACACCCTCAACATGTCGCTGTGGCGTCCCTGAGGAAGTTGATACATGTACGTGTAGATTTAATGCCAATCGACTGTTTTTTGTATTACATTACCGATATCATATATGTCGGACACAAATCACGTGGCTTCGGGGGGCTCCGACGCTCTCAACATGTCGCTGTGGCGTCCCTAAGGAAGTTGATACATGTACGTATGTTTTTAATACCAATCGACAGTTTTTTACATGACATTAACGATATCACATTTGTCGGACAAGAAATTTGAGACAATCAATGAAAAAATTAAAATAAGTTTGCCTTAACGCAACGTGCATATTAGTCAGTTTATTATTTACCTACTTTGTCAAATACCTGTGGGGCCCTGTGTCATATTCCCTGATCTGTTTTTTTGATAGTTCTCCGAGTATTTACGGAAATTATTTAGTAAACGCGGTCATTCAAAACCACGCGTGTGAGAAAGAATGGATATTCAGTCGTGTTTTTTGTGCAATCTCAGGAGTGAAGATCCTGAATTTCGGCAGAAATTGATCAATAGGACTTTTGTTGTCCGACTGACTTTATAATACTCATTTTATTTGTCCGACATTTACTACACATGTTTTAAAATTACATTGTTATTCATAATTATTTTTGTCGGACATACATGTATCAACTTCCTTAGGGACGCCACAGCGACATGTTGGGGGCGTCGGACCCCCCAGAGCCACGTGATTTTTGTCCGACCTATGTGATATCAATAATGTAACATAGAAAACAGTTGATTGGCATCAAAACCACACGTACATGTATCAACTTCCTCAGGGACGCCACAGCGACATGTTGAGGGCATCGGAACTTCACCAAAGCCACATGGTTTTTGTCCGACAAATGTGATATCGTTAATGTAATATAAAAAACAGTCGATTGGCATTGAAACTACACGTACATGTATCAACTTCCTTAGGGACGTCAGAACGACAACTTCACGAAGAGCTAGCGCGGCAATGTCTCATCGCCCAGGGTGGAGATATGAAAAATATTGTCCGACTTGGTGTTATAAAGCCGCTCAGGAAGTTTGGCGTGTACATGAGTTACAAAATTTTAGGGTCGATGTACTGGGGACTATTTGATTTAGATCATCATAAAGATTTAAATAATATGAAAGAAAAATATAAAAGTTTGAAGAAATAGGGAATACCGAATACCTATGTACTGCAATAACTTGCAATAGTTCACAATAATCACAATGGTTTGCAATATCTAGAATCGTACTGGGCAATAGGTTGCTATAGTCCACTATACTCGCACAATACTCTGCAATACCCGAGTATTGCACAATATATCTATGTACAAAAAAACTTCAGTGGAGTGAAATACCATGGAAATACCCCTCGGGTGTTCCATCATTCAAAATCATGTTTCTGCCTCCTAAGTTGGGGAGACTTTCGTCCCATATGGGATGGTGGGGCTGGCGGGAGTTGAGGTCACCAATAAGTAGAGATTGGTCTGACAGTGGAATATTCATTATTCTTGTTGCGTTAAATTTGTTTCTCAAACATATTAATAGATGTCGCACCGTCGTACAGTAACTTCACTGTACAGTAACTCTATTACCCACAGTGGCGATAATTGCTGTCTTATTTTTGATTGGTTCTAAAACCCCATATATTTATATTGAAAACGCGGCCATCTTGTTCCCACCTATGGCTTATTTCAAATATGAATATATGGGATTTGGGTGAACATCCATCATAAAACATGGAAAACAACGTATTTGATGGATCTAATAATAGTAAATATCTGCTGCCAACCGAACAAAACTAAAAGTACTTTTCAACGCATTTATAAATTAGGGCAATTTCAGATGTTTTTGGTTGGCAACGGCGCGCGACGTTGCATGATTTATATAAACATTTTCAAATAATGCGTGTCGATTCATTTCGTTATTTTTAGCTGTCAGTCGTTTTGATAATTTAACTATTTTGTATAATCCTAAGTAAGTGCCAAAAATACGTTACAGTTAGAAAAAAGTTCTTCCAAGAATTCAGTACTTTTTCGTAGCGTAAACTTACTCAGAAAATGCCCGCAGGTTTGTCGGAGTTGGCCTCAGGAAAGGGTAGTATACTTAATAACGTATTTCCAGCAGGAAGGCGACCATTCTTGCTTCTTACTGCTGTGAGGCATGTAAGTGAATTACCGATTTTCCGTTTCGTTTGACAGAAAAGACGTATCTATTTTTACCTGGTATGCGCGCGCAACATGAGGCAAGTCTTTTTATTAGCTAACTAGTACAGGTGTGAAGTGTTCGTTTTGCACGCTGGACATCTCCTTGTCCTTGTTCATTGCTCGTGGTCTGACAAAAAAAAAAGTACGGTTGATATTCAACTTGACGTTACTTGACAAGTGACACTCAAAAGTAGTTTGATTGGTTTGAAATGTTCATTGATAAATACGTTGCACAACACGCGGTTTTTCTTCTTCTCTTTTTATCCCGTGCAAATAAGGAGGACGGATTGCCATACATAAGTTTAACAAAATTTGGTACATTTTGCCTCGTCTTGCGCAATGAGCGTTCTGTGTTTTTTTTTATCTAATGAAGTTTTCGTATTATTACCTCTTTGTTTGGTAAAATAGATTGGTCTACTGTCACGTGATATTCTGATAAATTATAAGAAAAAAAATAGGCATTGACAACATTGTCTCTTTTTGTTCTATGACGTCATCCTAAATATAACGTAAAAAACCTCTAGCTAGTTTGCTTTGAATATAAAACTACTAGTTTTTTATTCAAAGCTAGTTTGCTATGCCGCAACGCCATCTTGAACGTCAAACATCAAATCGCGCTATAGTAGCAAGTCGAAGGTCGCATGCATACCACTTGATCTGAGAAAACCTCAAAAAGCGACTATAAATTCGGCCCTTAGGGCTGCCATTTTTGGTAAAAAAGGTGTATCGAGCAGGGCCCCGGACCGAAATGAAATATCGGTTCCGTTCCAGTTCCGGTCCACAGCGTCATGACGAATATCGGTTCCGTTACGGTTTCGGTTCTAAGAGAAATATTTCGATTCGGTTCGGACCAATAATTTCAGTTTTAACGGTTCATACCGGTATAGTTTTTCACAAATATCTAATGGCCATTTGCACTGACCATTTCAAGAAGCATCCCTTAAAACTTAAAACGGTCATTACAGAAAAATTTATGTTTCTATAATTTGTGGTTTATTTTTTTTGGATTTCTCTGCCTATCTGCAACAACTTTAATAATCATAATAATTACTATTAACAAAATAAATTTTTGTGTTTTCGATCAGTGATGACGTAACAGCGTGTCGTTTCTCGCCTTGACGTAGTGCTTGCACCAGTTGCACCACGGATGGAGGTGTTTTTTCGCGTCTCAAAGTTTTGAAACATTTTCCAAAACTGGTTTAAATCAGTTTCACAATGACGTCATAATTTCTCGGCACGAGGAAATGGTTTTAAAACTCGGATTGGATTGTATTTCGAAACGGTTTAGAACCATAGTACATACATTATTTAATATTCTAAAACAACCCTTGTTTAGATCTCATTTGCATCTTCCTCTTGTCAATTGACTATTTGTTAATCAAGTTTAAATTATATTTTTCATCATACATGTATATTTTTAACTACGAACGCAAACCGCTAACGAGATCGTTGATGACGTCGGCAACGGTTCAACAACATATGAACTTGATTCCAAAAATCGGAGCCGATGAGCAATCCTGTAGTAGTATGTAAAATCCTTGGTGTGTAGCCTAGCCGAGTTCAGAAATGCGCGCTGTCCAATGTTCAACGTTCTGTTTTTTAAAGTGTTAATTTTATTATGATACAACCAAACAGCAAACAGCTTAATTTATAAAATCTTGGAAACGAAAAATACCGGTAAGAACCGATTAATTTATATCGGTTCCGGTTCTGCCTGCCCTACAACATTTTTATGAAATATGGGTTTCGTTCCGGTTCCGGTCCGCAAAAAAAAAAAACGGTTTCGTTCCGGTTTTCGGTCCAATATCGTTCCGGTCCGGGTCCCTGGTATCGAGTCACTGTAATTAGTAGTTTTGTTTTATTAATTTTTATTGTGTTAAACTAAATATAACTGTATTGCCTTTGCATAGCCTTAGCCGCTTTCCAGTATGTACAGTGACTCTATTACCCACAGTGGCGACAATTGCTGTCTTATTTTTGATTGGTTCTAAAATCCCATATATTTATATTGAAAACGCCGCCATCTTGTTCCCAACTATTGCTTATTTCAAATATGAATATATGGGATTTAGGTGAATATCCACCATAAAACAGGGAAAACGACGTATTTGATAGACCTTATAATGGTCATCAAATATGTCGATTTCAATTTTTTATGATAGATGTCCATTTAAATCTTATATATCAATATTTAAAAGTAACAAGAGGTTGGGAACAAGATGGCGGCGGGACCTCTATTGTCGCCACTGTATGTAAAGGTTTATTTAGCCACTGTACAGTATGCAGTATGCACATTGGCGCGCTCCAGAGCACCTCGGGGGCGCCACGCACTAGATTTGTACCGTTCCAGTACTAAGGCGTGAGACGCCTGTCTTACAGTGATGTGCCTGTAGACAATGTCAACGTAAACAATTGATTGTCTACGCGTACACAATTCGAATTGTTTACGTGAGCATTTGTCTACACGTTGTCTACATGCGGCGTCGTAGACAAAAACTTACTTTAAAAAATTCGAAAAAAAATATCAAAAGCTACTATACTATCACTATCACTTCGATATTAGCATTCACTGATTATAAAATATCAGGAAAACCAATAATAAAATAAAAATAATTTAAAAAAAGGAAAGTGTGAGGTTAGAATTAAACGTCATTTATATTATTTTACATTGTTGACACGTTGTCTACATTGTCTACATTATCTACACGTAAAGTAGACAATGAAAGTCTACGTGTAGACGCACATCCCTGCTGTCTTAGTGTCAAATATGTCAAATTTTAAAAATAATTATCTGTTTGTTTGTGCAGTTTGTTTTTTTATTTATCAAAAATGAAAGAGAATCAAAACTATATATTTTGAAATGTTCAATCTTGAGATATAACAAGAAATAAATAGATAAATAGCCACCCACAGATGTGACAGCTGATAGGTTGACGCGTACGTACAGCTCGGGGGCTCGCTCAACGCCCCGAGTAGCTCCGGGCGTCACACTTCCATACCTGGGCTGCGTTCAGGAATGGCTACAGCCAAGCCAAAATTGGCTTTTTGCGTTCGAATTCGGCTCCAACCTACGTTGTTCGGCATTACAAGTGGAGGGGGAAAAGTAGGTTTTGGCATTAGCATTGCCGTCCTTGAACGCACCCCTGGAAAGCGGCTCTTATAGCCGATGTTTTGAAGCTCCCACAACTTTTTACTCCTATGGCGCATTATGTTAAAACATGAGAGTTGATAATACTTGGCAACACTGGTCTGGGGTTGGAGGAAGGTAGGTGTTCCATCATTCAAAATCGCAAAATCATTCTCCAGCAGGAATTTATTTATGTTTCTGCCTCCTAAGTTGGGGTGACTTTTGTCCCATATGGTGGGAGTTGAGGTCACCCATAAGTAGAGATTGGTCTGAGAGTGAAATTTTCATTATTTTTGTTGCGTTGAATTTGTTTCTCAAACATATTAATAGATGTCGCACCTATACCCAACGTTGCCAAGCTTTCTACTAATTCGTATGTTTGACAATCAGCTGTTTTTTAATTTTTGTCACAAAAATCTATAAAATTCCATTGAAAAAGTAACATTTTATTATTTTAAATTAATAGTTTAATCTCTCCTTAAGTAAATTCAAATAAATATTGATATGTTATATGATATTTCTTGAAAATCATTGATAATAATTGCTTGATCCTGGATAAAGAACTATGGACCCAAAAAAAAGTAAGTACATAATTTATTTAGTTAATTTAAAAGGACTTGTTGATTATTCCCAATTATTCATACACTAACAAACTTAATTAATAATCATTTTGTGTTGCTAATTAATATTTCCAGCTATACTAAACAACTAACAACTTTAGCTTAACAATGAGTTTAAAAAAAGATGGCAAAATCACATTGGGGATGCTAAAAGGTACGAGTTTTGCACCTTTTTGCATTAATTTTGAGCGCACCTTGCTTCCAGGTAAACCAGTGACGACCTCTGTCCCTTCGATATCCATTAAATTCCACGCCAATGCCGAGCAAATTGAAGAGTTGCATTTCAGCGAAGAAGAAACTCCCAATTCGGAGGAGAAGAGTTTCGGGAATCTAAATCCGATTTCTAGTTCTAGTGAGTATATTGGAATTGGTTTTGCATTTTTATGTATAAATTTTCTTCTTCATCAAAGCTGTATTTGTTTTATTTAATCATCTTGTAAATTTAGTATAACATGCTTCAAACCTTCCTTTCACTTTTCTTCAAAGTGCAAATTAATACTTGAAACAGTTCATGAGTAAACAAATCATTTACATCCTTGTGTCTAGATTGTTGAAAAATTGCCTTCCTTACAATGAAGTAGAAAGAAGGTTTGGAATGGGCTTTGGGTCATCCAATTGATTCCAAAATGAGGTAGCGCTAGTAAAGGCAAAAAATCTATTGGATCTTCCATATCTCTCACTCTAAAGCTGGATTTATAGTGTCAGTAGCAGTAACAGTAACTTAAAACTTAAGATATGAAAATAACCATTTCTTAAGTTTTACTGATAAGTTTGTTAATGGCCGTTTGCACCGATCATTTTAAGGGAGGCTTAACAAATGACATTTTTACATGTAAAAATGTCACTTTAAGGAACACTTATCGTTAAGCCTCCCTTAAAATGGTCGGTGCAAATGGCAATAAGTGAACTATAAATGGCTTTACAGTCGGCTGTGTTTTGATATTTCACTGTTTTTGTTACTGATACTGACACTATAAATCCAGCTTAACCCTGGGTGAGATAGCGCTAGTAAGGGCAAAAAAATGTCATGGATCTCTCCTGTTCTTCCACTTTAATGTTGGCCGCAAATATATCTATTGAGTAGATAGGCAAAGGGCTATTCTAACCTTCTTACTACTTCATTGCTTCCATATCAAACTATTTCAAGCTGTATTTTTTAAATCAATCAAGTTGTAAATTTATTATGAATATAAAATTAGGAGATTTTATATAAATAACATAAAATAAGTTATAAGTAGTACCTACCCTGTGTTGAAAAAATGAAAAATTATATTACCAAAAAACCTTATTGTAGATAGCAGTACATTTTTTTATACGCTTATTAATTTATATTACATGTTATCTCATTTCCATGCTAACATCTTAAGAATTCTTTGATTTTAATTTCAATTTTCACACATTAACATCTTAGGTGACCAAGACACAAGTCCCTTAAAACTACTTCCAAAATTGGCAAAACGTTCTACCAGCGTAGATGTATCTTCTACTCAAAATCTCAGCTCGTCTCCTCCTGCCGATCCTTGGAGGTTCTTCACTGATATAAAAGTAAATTTTGTGGTTTTCTTTTATTCCAAAAAAACGCTGATATAATATTTTTTTCTAAGGGCAAAATAACCAAAAGCGTAGAAGAAAAAATCACTGAAATCAAGGCAAGGCATGAAGTGGGGTCACCTGTTAAAAAACCTGGAGAAACTATAAAAGAAGGCAAAACCGAAACAAATATAGACAGTTCGAGTTTTTCAGAGTCCGAAGACCAATCTGAGAGTAGCATTTCTAAAACTTGCGGTTTTGCTTCAACAACAGAAGGTGCAATAATTCCTATGTAGTCAAATATTGAATTTAAACTCAAAATTATTACAGGTGTAGAAATGTCGTCAGATGACGAAACGTCATCGATAGATAAAGAAAAAAAATTGCACTCGCCTAGCATCATCAGGCAAAAGTTCAGATTTTTAAAACATCATAAGTAGGTTATCATTAAATATTAGTAATTAACAGTTTCCTGTCATTATGATTTCAATTGCTAGTCATAAAAGTCCAACCAAGGAAGGTACAGTGGATATAAACAATTTAACGAAAATCTACAATATTAATACCGAAAAAGTTGAACAAGCTTTGCCCGAACATTCAGAGGATGTTGAAAGTGCTGTTGATGCTTTAGAAGAAACTGATTTTAGAGATTCGCCTGAGAAGATTGAAGACGGCTTTGTCAAGGAGGAGATTATCAAAAAAGTAATAATTTTAAATATGTAATTAAATAATAAATCATTTAATTATTATAAGGTGGCTGAAAAAATTGACAATATCGAAATAGACCAAGAAAATGTGGTAAATGTGAGGCAAATATCTGGAGAGGAGGTGCAAAGAAGCTTCCTTACAGGGGACAAAAAAATGTCTACAGTTTTTGCACCTAAAGGATTTGTTGATGTTAGATGCCGCACCACCAATAGGCTTAGTGACACCAATGTTCTGTAATATTTTATATACCTAATTTATACATATAATAATTAATTTATATTTATTTTTAGTCCTTATATACTTCTGTCTGTGTACATAGTTGTCTATGCTATTTTAAACTCGTATGTACCCTATTTGGCAGGGCTTCTTTTGGGGGCCTCTTTGGCCCTAAGCTTAGGGTATGTTTACGTAAAACTTTGCACTACAGTGACATTTGGGAATACAGCAACTATTACCAAAAAGCGAGCTAATATTATGGAAATCCCCGCTATCAAAGAATATAAACCATTGAACAAATATGAAGTAATTTATAAAGGGATTTTGTAATTATTATTATCATTATATTTTTTTTTGCTTAGGGTTGGGTAAATGAGTATCCAGAAACTTACGACCCTCTAACGTATCACATTTATCAAACTCAGTCGGTGTTTTTAAGATTGCAAGGGAGCCTTTTAAGGCTCAGTCATTCGAAAAGCAAAGTTCCAAAGCGTGCAATGTGGAATGAGCATGAAATCAAGGCCAGCTTTAGTCATCACAGGATTTACAATTTACTGGGAGCCAAAATCAGTTTGCTACCAGAAGGTTTGGCCAAAATAAGGCTTTGGAGTAAAAAATACCCTATTTGCATTACGCTGAGCAAAGACCAAATGAATTTCGATCAGAACTTATTGAAAATGGAAATGGACGATGATAAAAGCAGCGAAAAATCTAAATCACCAATTATAAAAAAGAAGTCATTATTCAGAAAAAGAGAATATCCGTATTTGTCTCAGAGATTTAGCAAACTAACCGAAGACCAAGATGTTGATTTGGATTCAGATTCCAGAGCTAGCACACCATCTCCTGAGATAACGGTAATTATTGTTTTATTTTAACTGATCATTGATAACAGTAGTACACAATTACACAAGAATAATTCTTGCAGGAGTTAACTCCAGAAACTCCAATACCACTACTCAACGACCAATCTTTTGAGGACGACATGCACTCTTTACCAGACGACTCTTCGGAATGCTCGCAAAATGTAAGCACCAACAAATACCCTTTTATAACACATACTTACCCTTCATCAATACACACTAAATTGGCAGACCAACATGTAAGTAAACCTAAATCATTGAAGATATGACACTTCTTTTTTAAGTTTACTCAATTATATCTGTCTTTTTAGGATAGTTCTTCCGAGTTGAAAATCTACTTGTTTGGTCGTACTGATCGCGAGAAAGAGGATTGGTTTAGAAGATTAGCAGCAGCTACCCATCACGGTGAAGAAAATACAGAAACAAGTCAAATTGTTTTGGAGTATATGCGATACATGACCATGTTCAATAAGACTTCTAATTCAGACTTCCAAGAAAAACAAGCTGGCAACGATTTGGAGGAAATTAAACAGTTGTGGTTCAATGCACTTGTTGGTAAATATCAGTGGACATTAACAGTTAGTTAACTTATACTTATCATTAATTAACTGATAGCTAAACTAGATAACTGTTCATTAATAAACTAGTCCTCAGTTACATTATTTCGAGAGGATAGTCACTTGCGATTTAGGACAGATAATATCCATTTATGAAGATTTCTTTGCATCTCCATGAATATAATTTAATTTTCCATAGATTTCCGTGTATCTTCTCTGGACTAACCCTAACCAGACATCTCAAAGACAAGACGTCATATGTTATAGTAGAATGTTCCTTATAATATATTTTGACTTTTGTGGGCGCGTCCGAGTTACAAGCTGAAATTTTCACAGAATGAAGGTTTTATTATCGATAGAGCGGGTCAAAATTAATAGAAAATAACCCTGACATCAATTGCAAATGGCCATTTTAAGCAGAAACAAAAAAAAAAAAGAACATCCTATTTTTGGCTCTGGAAAATTTTCAAAATCTTGACATGGTCATGAACAATTGGCCATATATTTGGTAAATTTTGGACAAATTGAAATAAATTATACATCATTGAAAAGAGCATTAAATTCTCTATAAATCTGTGCAAAATTGAGTTCGATAGCTCAGATAGTTTTTGAGCAATTGAGCCTCAAAGTTGACTTTTAGTCCAAATTTTGTCAAAAACTTCAAATTCAATTTGCTCAAAAACTATAAATCTGGAAATATTGTAAATTACAGGCCATTCGGAACTTGATAAAAGCTACAAATTCTGGAAATTTCAATGCAATTTGCTCCACAGCTATTAAGCAATTGAGGTTTGAATATTTTGAAATCAGAATTCAAAGAGGGTATCCTTATGAAAAATTCGATTTTTTTATTTCTAGTTTTACTCAATTTTGACTTTATGAATCGATAGAGCGGGTCAAAATTAGTGGAAAACAACCCTGATATCAATTCCAAAAGGCCATTTTAAGCAGATACAGAAATAAAAAAAAAATCCTATTTTTGGCTCTCGAAAACTTTCAAAATCTTGACATGGTCATGAACAATTGCCCATATCTTTGATAAATTTTGAACAAATTGAATTAAATTATATACCATTAGAAAGAGCATCAAATTCTCTATAAATCTGTGCAAAATTGAGTTCGATAACTCAGATAGTTTTTGAGCAATTGAGCCTCAAAGTTGACTTTTAGTACAAATTTTGTCAAAAACTTCAAATTCAATTTGCTCAAAAACTATAAATCTGGAAATATTGTAAATTACAGGCCATTTGGAACTTAATAAAAGCTATAAATTCAGGAAATTTTAATGCAATTTGCTCCACAGTTATTAAGCAATTGAGGTTTGAATAGTTTGAAATCAGAATTCAAAGGGGGTACCCTTATGAAAATCTCGATTTTTTTATTTTTCAGTTTTGCTCAATTTTGACTTTATTAATCGATAGAGCGGGTCAAAATTAGTGGAAAACAACCCTGATATCAATCCAAATGGCCATTTCAAGCAGATACAAAAATAAAAAGAAAATTCTATTTTTGGCTCTCGAAAATTTTCAAAATCTTGACATGGTCATAAACAATTGCCCATATCTTTGATTTGAATTGAATTATATACCATTAGAAAGAGCATCAAATTCTCTATATATCTGTGCAAAATTGAGTTCGATAACTCAGATAGTTTTTGAGCAATTGAGCCTCAAAGTTGACTTTTAGTACAAATTTTGTCAAAAACTTCTAACTCAATTTGCACAAAAACTATAAATCTGGAAATATTGTAAATCACAGGCCATTTAGAACTTGATAAAAGCTACAAATTCTGGAAATTTCAATGCAATTTGCTCCACGGCTATTAAGCAATTGAGGTTTGAATATTTTGAAATCAGAATTCAAAGAGGGTATCCTTATGAAAAATTCAATTTTTTTATTTCTAGTTTTACTCAATTTTGACTTTATGAATCGATAGAGCGGGTCAAAATTAGTGGAAAACAACCCTGATATCAATTCCAAATGGCCATTTTAAGCAGATACAGAAATAAAAAGAAAATCCTATTTTTGGCTCTCGAAAATTTTCAAAATCTTGACATGGTCATGAACAATTGCCCATATCTTTGATAAATTTTGAGCAAATTGACTTCAATTATATACCATTAGAAAGAGCATCAAATTCTCTATGAATCTGTGCAAAATTGAGTTCGATAGCTCAGATAGTTTTCGAGCAATTGAGCCTCAAAGTTGAATTTTAGTCCAAATTTTGTCAAAAACTTCAAACTCAATTTGCACAAAAACTATAAATCTGGAAATATTGTAAATTACAGGCCATTTGGAACTTAATAAAAGCTACAAAATCTGGAAATTTTAATGCAATTTGCTCCACGGTTATTAAGCAATTGAGGTTTGAATATTTTGAAATCAGAATTCGAAGAGGGTACCCTTGAACTACGTTGAGCACTCTACTATTGGTGATTCAAGTACTGGGAATAATCAAAGTTTGCTTAACTATCTAATAATAATATATCCTACTTTATCTCTTCTTTTTCTTAACCGATAAGTTTCTTATGTCGTTTTCTTTGTCCTACCTGCCTTTTCTAGACTTTTTATTGGCCAGATACAAAAATTACATACAAGGTCACTCACTCAAGTGCCGACAATAATTAAAATTCGCGTTAGTTTTGTTTCTTTCTCATTTATTGAGTTTCTAGCTTGAGTTTTAATATTTCCTTCTTTATCTCCAAAAATATTCAATAGCCTTCCTAAATGCTTAATGCGAAAGGGAAATAAAACAGTTCCTGGGATTTCCAAGAATATCATTGATTTTTCATGAAGATCATTTGGATTTTCCTAGATCTTCTCCAATTGTACTTGCACAGATATTCATGTATTTTCCTGGAAATCCATAGATCTCCATTAGATGACTACCTCCTCTCATTGAATAATACACTTATTTAAAGGTCGAGTCCTCTTTGATTGCACCAGAGACCCAAATTTCACCAAGAAAGTCCAAAACCGCATCCAAAAAAAACTGCAAACAATCAAACTGCCGTACTTCATCGAAGAAATCCTCATCACCGAACTTAATTTGGGCAAAAGCCCGCCGTTCATACAAAAATCGGAAAAACCTGTCATGGACGACAGAGGCTTGTGGGTGGACATGGAAATTTCCTACGAAGGCTCCATCGTGTTAACTTTGCAAACAAAACTGAACTTAATGAAGCTTAAAAATCCCAAAACCGATCGTCCAACATTGGAAATCAAATCAGCAATTTATCATTCGGATGTTGATGATTCGGCTGAAAGTAGCTCGGATGAGGAAGGGCCTCAAGAGGTTCAAATCCCTAAAGAACCCACACACGGTAAAAAGTTTATCAAAATGGTCGACAGAATCGCAGAATCCAAATTCTTCCAAGCAGCAACCGAGAACCGCTATATTAAAAAAGCAATGGAAGGAGTTAGTAATACTGAGCTGAGGCTTACAGTTGAATTAAAAGCACTTTCGGGTACTTTGGTACTTAACGTGCCTCCGCCTCCCAATGACAGGATATGGGTGGGGTTCAGGCCTGTACCAGAGTTGATTTTGACCGCTTGTCCCATTGTGGGGGATAGAAATGTTACTTATACAATGGTTACTAGTTGGATCGAAAAGAAAATGATGCAAGAATTTCAAGTAAGTGAATTTTTGGTTTTAATTTATTGAGGGCTTTTTCCAGACATCTCCATATCCTGGACGATTTCTGGAAACTTTTTTTGTATTTTTTTTTTTTTTAGAAAGTTATGGTTATACCAAATATGGAAGACTTCCTAGTACCTGTAATGGACCCGAAATTGCCAGAGTAAACTAGTAACCAACTAACATACATTTATTTGAAGGGAATCTGTGTTTTTTTTTTTCCATTAAATTCTTGCCAACTTGCATCACATAGCAGATTCCTTTACATATGCAGTGATAATTCTATACAACGTTATACAGGGCAGAAAAAGAAAAATGAATATATTTTGTCTAGTCACACGTATACAGGCAAATTAAATGTTTATAATAATTATTGGCTCTAAAAGTAACTAAGAAATAATAAATGTGATATTTACCAATGTTTTGCGTCAGGGTTTTTGTGTTAGTTTATGTTTTAAGAATTTTATTATTTTTGTTTGCAATTTGCCTTTAGTTATTTTGTATAAATAAAACTTACTTTAATCAATTTATGAAAAAATTTGCTTTTTGCACTATGATGAGGCTGGAAAACATCTCTATTCTAATGATAGGGAATAATTGAGACTTCCAAATTAATATTCCATTTTTGTATTTAAAGTGATAAGGTCGGTGCAAACGGCCATAAGTATTTTTTTAATTTTAAACAGTATAATATTTTTTAGTTCCTAATTGATGTTAAATAAAAATTTGGGGAATCAAATAAAATGCGTTATTTTTCTTGAATTTTCCTAAATCTAAGGAAAAATTCTTTGGACCCATATACAATACCTATTGTTTTTCAAAATTTCTAAATCAAAAAAGTATTTTTATTTAAATTATTACATCAACAGTTTGAAGTCTTCATACGATGCCCTTTCAAACATTCGATGGAGCAAAATCGATTTTCCAAATACTCAAAGGGCACTTTTCCGGCCATATCGGAGCCGCACAAAAAGCATCTCGCAATCACTTTGCCTTGGGCATTTAAAATGCGCCTTTCTGCTGCTAAAGCCCTCTACAATAATAATTGTATAAATTCAAATATATTATATAACATAATCAAATTACCTTTTCTCTGTCGCTCAAACTCAAAAACCTATCTTTATGCTCATCTTCCTTTTTCTTAATATGAATTTCCTTTTTCTTTTCTTTTTCCTTTTCGCGTTTCACTTTTCTCATTGCTCGTTTTTTTTCAGCAATTTCCTCATCGGTTAAAGTGTTTACTGGAATTTGTGCTTTATTGTAGTTGTATTTTTCAGGATTTTTTTTAGCGAATTTTTTGAAAATTTCTCTGGACAGTTTACTGTTCGTAATGCTATAAGGTGTTTGCTGGTGTTTGTTTTTCAAGCAAGGATCTGCCTCGTTTTCCAGTAAATATTGAAGCATTTCTTCGTGCTCATTCATTGCAGCCAAGTGCAGAAAACTATTGCCAGCCTCGTCTAAGATTTCATTGAAAATCTCTTTGGAAACTTCTTGTTTAGACATGTTTTCGAAGATTTTTGAGCGTTCTTGTAAAAGTTCTTCCAAGAATACAGTGTTGCCTTTGATTGCAATATTTATAAGATTTTGTTTCCTAAGGTCTTCTTTTTCTCTAAGTTTTTGGTTTTTGCTTTTTCTGGAAAAGTAAAAGGTAAGTATGGAAATAGTAGCAGAAGATTTATTGGAAGTTTAACATCTATTTTCATAGAATTCACTAGGAAGGAAATTTGCCATTGGCTTTGAAAAGGATTATTAAATCCTAATTAACAGGTTTGTAGAGAAATTCATTAGCTTCAATTAGAGCCTAATTACTTTAAAATCAGATGGAAATTAACTGAGCTGTAAGGCAGTGTCGTTTTTGGAAAACTTTTAATTTTCGATAAATCCGGAATTTCGCATAATTTTTATGGAATTCCAGGTTACATCCTTAGAATTTCATATAATTTCACCAAAATTACACGTCATTTTGCGTAATTTCACTGAAATTTAGTATAATTTCAATGGGATTTCATTCTAGGAAATTTCATAGGATTTTATTATAATTTATCTATTCAACAGGAATTTCACCAAATTTTTTGAAATTCTATGTAATTTCAATGGATTTCCTCATAATTTCTATGAAATTCAGCATAATTTATATGAATTTATTTAGGAAATTCCTTTTAATTTTACTAATATTTAATCCCATTTAATTTCACCAGAATTCTACATCATTCTTTATAAGATTCCATGTAGTTTCAATGGAAATCAATATAATTTCCCTAGAATTTCGCATAATTTTTTTGTAATTTTCCATTAAGTATTTCTATAAAATTTCGCATAATTTCTATGGAATTCCGCATAATTTTACTGGAATTTCAAATAATTTTTTTTATAGAATTCCATCTAGTCCAGTGAAATAGCTAATAGCCAGACTTCGTCAGATTTGTATTAAGTTTATAACTTCTCAGTATTTTGATTGATAAAAGTTTTTTTTTTATTTATTTATTTATCCAACGATTAAATCCAGCATCATTTAATTTCAGTAAAATTGTTCATAGTTTCAATGAAATTTAGCATAATTTAACCGAAATTCCGTATAATTTCACTGGAATTCAGCATAATTTCCTTCTATATAATGTAATTGGAATTCTGCATAATTTCAATGGAATTCAACCCCAATGTAGAGAGGAAGGTTAGAAGCTTATTTTCCCAAAATTTCAAATTTTTCCAGCGGAAAATAACAACATGAAGAATCTTGGAAATCAACTTACAAAAACTAAATTAATTGAAAATACAGTCTCACACAATTCAAAGTTTTCCTGGAAAACTAGTGCAGGGAGAAATTTGAAACTTTTTGCATGTAAAGAGGAAGGTGAAAAGCTCATTTTCCCAAAATTTCAAATTTTTTCAATGGAAAATAACAACATAAAGATTCTTGGAAATCAACCTGTCAAAAACTGAATTGGTTGATAATACCGTCTCACACATTTCAAAGTTTTGCTGAAAAACTAGTGAAGAGAAAAATTTTAAACTTTTTGCGTGTAAATAGGAAGGTTAAAGGCTCATTTTCCCAAAATTCCAAAATTTTCCAGTAAAAAATGACAACATGGGGAATCTTGGAAATTAATCTACAATAACTGAAAATACAGTCTCACACATTTCAAAGTTTTCTTGGAAAACTAGTGGAAAGAAAATTTCGAAAATTTTTGCATGTGAAGAGGAAGCTGAGAAGCTCATTTTCCTAGAATTAGTTGAAAATACCGTCTCACACATTTCACAGTTTTCCTAGAAAACTAGTGAACGGAAAAATTTGAAACTTTTTGCATGTGAAGAGGAAGCTTAGAAGCTCATTTTCCCAAAATTTCAAATTTTTTCAATGGAAAATAACAACATAAAGATTCTTGGAAATCAACCTGTCAAAAACTGAATTGGTTGATAATACCGTCTCACACATTTCAAAGTTTTGCTGAAAAACTAGTGAAGAGAAAAATTTTAAACTTTTTGCGTGTAAATAGGAAGGTTAAAGGCTCATTTTCCCAAAATTCCAAAATTTTCCAGTAAAAAATGACAACATGGGGAATCTTGGAAATTAATCTACAATAACTGAAAAATTGAAAATACAGTCTCACACATTTCAAAGTTTTCCTGGAAAACTAGTGGAAAAAAAAATTTGAAATTTTTTGCATGTGAAGAGGAAGCTGAGAAGCTCATTTTCCCAGAATTTCAAACTTTTCCAGTGGAAAATAACAACATGCAGAATCTTGGAAATCAACCTACAAAAACTGAATTAGTTGGAAATACCATCTTACACATTTCAAAGTTTTCCTGAAAAACTAGTGAACGGAAAAATTTCAAATTTTTTGCATGTGAAGAGGAAGCTTAGAAGCTCATTTTCCCAAAATTTCAAATTTTTCCAGTGGAAAATAACAACATAAAGATTCTTGGAAATCAAGCTGTCAAAAACTAAATTGGTTGAAAATACCGTCTCATGCATTTCAAAGTTTTGCTGAAAAACTAGTGAAGAAAAAAATTTTCAACTTTTTGCATGTGAATAGGAAGGTTAAAGGCTCATTTTCCCAAAATTCTAAAATTTTCTAGTAAAAACTGACAACATGAGGAATCTTGGAAATGAACCTACAATAACTGAAAATACAGTCTCACATATTTCAAAGTTTTCCTGGAAAACTAGTGGAAAGAAAATTTTGAAAATTTTTGTATGTGAAGAGGAAGCTTAGAACCTCATTTTCCCAAAATTTCAAATTTTTCCAGTAAAAAATGACAACATGAGGAATCTTGGAAATGAACCTACAATAACTGAAAAATTGAAAATACAGTCTCACACATTGCAAAGTTTTCCTGGAAAACTAGTGAAGGGAGAAATTTGAAACTTTTTGCATGTAAAGAGGAAGGTGAAAAGCTCATTTTCCCCAAAATTTCAAATTTTTTCAATGGAAAATAACAACATAAAGATTCTTGGAAATCAACCTGTCAAAAACTGAATTGGTTGATAATACCGTCTCACACATTTCAAAGTTTTGCTGAAAAACTAGTGAAGAGAAAAATTTTAAACTTTTTGCGTGTAAATAGGAAGGTTAAAGGCTCATTTTCCCAAAATTCCAAAATTTTCCAGTAAAAAATGACAACATGGGGAATCTTGGAAATTAATCTACAATAACTGAAAATACAGTCTCACACATTTCAAAGTTTTCTTGGAAAACTAGTGGAAAGAAAATTTCGAAAATTTTTGCATGTGAAGAGGAAGCTGAGAAGCTCATTTTCCTAGAATTAGTTGAAAATACCGTCTCACACATTTCACAGTTTTCCTAGAAAACTAGTGAACGGAAAAATTTGAAACTTTTTGCATGTGAAGAGGAAGCTTAGAAGCTCATTTTTCCAAAATTTCAAATTTTTCCAGCGGAAAATAACAACATGAAAAATCTTGGAAATCAACTTACAAAAACTGAATTAACTGAAAATACAGTCTCACATATTTCAAAGTTTTCCTGGAAAACTAGTGAAGGGAGAAATTTGAAACTTTTTGCATGTAAAGAGGAAGGCGAGAAACTGATTTTCCCAGAATTTCAAACTTTTCCAGTGGAAAATAACAACATGAAGAATCTTGGAAATCAGCCTACAAAAACTGTACTCTTTATTCTTTTGAATTTTTCAAATTTGGACCTGTAAATCATTAAGTAATGTTTTGGGAGAATTTCTTTAATAAAAATAAATGTCCAACATCCAACACAAAACCAGATTTTTTTTTTGAAATTTCCTTTAATGTGTTTCTTATAATAAGAATGTGAACCTCAGTGACGTCATGACCCTACAATTTTCTTTAAATTCCTCATAAATTCCTCACAAACTCTTCCAAATTCCCCATAAATTTCTCCAAATTCCCTATAAATTTTCCAAATTCTCATAAAGAGTTCCTTCAAATTCCTCACAAATTCCTCTAAATTCCCCACATTTTTGGCAAAGAATTCCTAGGTGGTTTGCTCCTTGGAATTCAATTAGCTTTAATGAGAGCTTAATTACATCAAAATCAAATGAAAATTAACGGGTTGTGAAGCAAAAACTGTTTTAGTGTCATTTTTGGAAAATTTTTGGATTTTATTCATAATTTAATGTAGATTTTGGATTATCAAAACTAGTATTCAAGTGCCTGGAATTAATGAACAAGAATTCTGAAAATTTATATCAACCAATTAAAAAGGAAGGAAATTTGCAACTGACCAAGAGAAAGAGCCTAGAAAGGGAAAAGCCATTTTTGATTGGCCATTGGTTGAAGCAGCTCAATATCTACTAAACTATTTAGATTCTTACTTTGGCTTTTTCTTGTGTTGTCCTTTTTTCCTTTGCTCCGGAGTGAGACTATCACCAAACTCTTCCAAATCCTCAAAGGAAACTTCCAAATTAGTCTCATCCAACACAAATTCCTCATCATTTGAATCTTCCAATTTCAGCACAATTTCATCTTTTAGTTTCAACTCGATTTTGGAAAGATTTTCCTGAGAATTACCATGACTTATTTCGCCAGGCAAAGGCCTTTCGAGTGGCTCCCGGGACTTTGCCCTGTTAATGCAACTAGACCGAGCTTTATTGCGTTTTGGGTCTTTTTCTGGGGAGCTTATAGCGTCATTTAATGAACCTAAAACCAACCATATTATTTAGATATTTTATTTTATTTTAATAAATTACTATATAATGAAGCAGAGCAAAGTTCCAAATGTACTCGTTTGACTTCGGTATAAGTGGCACGTCCAGTTGAAAACGGTATAGTTCTCAAACGTGAATCACTTCTATCTAATAGAGGCTCTTTGCCACCAAACAAAACAGCTCTATTAAACGGCCCAGAAGCTCTATAGAAGATTAAACTGCATTTTTTTAACTCCTCGGACCAAGTTGACATTATATCACTTACATGCTACAAAAAAAAGCAATCATAATATTCAACAAACAAAAACTACTTACATCTATAAGAGCTTGTTCATTGTATCTCCTCAAAGAAGCCCCAGCGCTTTTAGGATGAGACCCCCCGGATTTATTATCACGGGATGATTGAGAACCCCCTTGGCCTTGCCTGACAGTGTAGCAATGAAAAGTTTTATGCACTAGGGGGGTCAAATAATTGAAAATTGCTCCAGCAAAGTGGCCTCCCCCTAACATTAAAACAGCCCATTGTTTGTTGTCGTAACAATTGTCTTTGTAGCGTTTGTAAAAATTAACTGAAGCAATTTCTTCCTTTTTATCAACAAGCAAGACTCCTCTATACAAAGAAAACACTTGGCCTTTATCGTTTTGCAAAAATATTTTGCCTTGAGTGGTTGCAAGTGTGTCTAAAGTATCTTGCTCGTCTTCTTCTGAGCCTGAGATACTTGATACTTCATCTAAAATTAATTATTTAATATTGATTTTATTAAGCAAAAAATGTTTAAGTACCATTTTCAGTTTTCTTACTAAACTCCTCTTCAGCTATTGGTGGTTTTAGTTGTAGCGATAGTTTTAAGTTGTATCGGTGCCAATCCAGCCTGTAATGCTCTCTTTGCGTTCGCACATTGGGAAAACTGACACGACAATAAGAGCAAGCTAAATTATTGTTATCTACGATTATTGAATCTTCTTTTGTGGTACTTATAAGTGGTACTACTTCGCTTTCAATTCTAGCCGGATTCACAGACTGATCAAACATGCCATTGAAATCTTCATTGAATATTACAATTTTATCAGCCATTATTGTTTAGAAATTAGGAACTAAAACAACACAATTGAGATAAAATAATAATGGAGTCACGTATTTATAGGTACTATAAGGTGGGTTTGGAATAATATTGCACAATATATGGAATACATTAAATTATGTTTTAATAAATTATTACAATCTATCTTATATTCTTATAATAAATAAAACTATAATTATTATGTGATGATAGGCCCTTATAAACAAATTCCTTGTTTAATACTGAATCGATATGCCTTTATAGTACATGTAGCTAGTGGATAGAAGCCCCACTAGGACTGAAAATAAGTAGTTTATGTGAAATGTGTGTCCAGATTCTTCTCTAAAAAAATAAATAAAAATAATCAGTGGGAAATTATTTAAATTAGTTGTAAAATTTTAGGTTGAACTTTATAGGAATATTCAGAGATTGTTCTCTTGAATTTCTGAGTAATTCACAATCAACTCAAGTTCTCACCTGTACTTCTTAGGAGACAAAGGACTGGGCGGGTTGATTCCGGGCTCGTACGAGTCAAACTTGACGCACATCCAAGTGAAAAACGTGGCGAAAACGCCACAGAAAAGGGGCAGCCACATGCTGCTGTACCGGACAGCAGTTTCCCACGTGTTTGTGAACATTATTTGTCCATTTTTGGTTATCACTTGGTGGGTGATTAGTTTTCTTTCGAAGAATAGTTTTTGTAGGGTTTCAGCTGAAAATAGAATAAATGTCAAATTAGTAGTAAATAGTAGTAAATACACAAAGCAATATGAAATTAAAAAAATTACCATATCTATCCTATTTACAATCCGTAGTCCAAAGGTAAAGGTAAATTTATCACCTTTCCCTATCAAATAGCAATGAAAGGTGATAAATTTTACCTGTACCTTTGGTCATCGGATTGCGAATAGATAATATACTGTATTTTGTCATTTTGTTGGTAAATGTTTGATTTATGCTGGAATTCTTTAGTCTTTAGAGTTTGATTCCTATCAAAGTTAATGAGCAGTTTCCCATATCGTTATTCCAGGCTCTTGATTGGTCGGATTCAGAAATCACAAGATCATAGGCGCAACTAGGGGGGTGCTTGGGGGTGCTAAGCACCCCTAAAGCAAAAATTAGCACTCCTATTCGGCATCCCACCATAGCACTACCTAACACTTATATAAAAAATTAGTGCAACCAAATTATTTTATGTATTTTTTTGCACTTTTTGTACTTACTTACGTCATCGATGACGTCATAATTTAGAAAAAAGTATTCGTCGTTGATTAATTTATAGAGCACGTTCGCAACTATTATTGTTATGGAATGAAATTTTTCAACCAGGGCCGGTATCACAATATTACCTGAAAATCAAGACTTACCCTAAAATATAGGGTTTTTATGTTATATTTAGGATGACGTCATCGAACAAGGTTAAACAATATTGTCAATGTCTATGTTTATTCTATATCTCAAGATGACATTGAAATACCGGCCCTTAAAAAATCACTAAAATCCCAAATATATAAATTAATCAACTGTGTATTATACAGGGTGTTCCTAAATATCATATACAAACGGCAAAGGGTGATCCTTTGTTTTTTTTTTATGACTGAAATCTCAAATATGTTCTAAAAAATTGACTTATTTAGGCAAAATTTTACAAAAATTCACCCTCTTACATTTTAATTTTTTCCTAGAAAACTTGCAAAGGGAAAAATAAGAGGAAAATAAGGAGCACAATTTACGAAAATTTCAAAATTTTCCAGTAAAAAATTACTCTAGGAAAAATTTTGAAAAACTAACTTTTTTAAGCAAAATTAAGAAGAATTCACACTCTTACATTTGAATTTTTTACTAGAAATCTGGCAAAGGGAAAATTGTGAAATTTCTCCAGAAGAAAGAGAAAAGTAAGGAGCTCATTATAGGAAAATTTTTCAATGGAAAATCGCTCCAAGAAAAATTCTGAAAAAATGACTTTTTCAAGTAAAATTAAGAAAAACTCATCCTCTCACATTTCAATTTATTTTCTGAAAAACTAATAAATCAAAACTTGTGAAATTTTTCCAGAGGAAAGAAGAAAATGAGGAGCTCATTATAGGAAAATTTCAAAATTTCCTAGTGAAAAATCACTCCAAGGAAAGTCGAGAGGGAAATTCTGGAAAATTGACTTTTTAAGTAAAACTCATCCTTTCACATTTCAATTTTTTTCTGGAAAACTGGCAGAGCAAAAATTGTGGAGTATTTCCAGAAGAAAGAGGAAAGTGAGGAACTCCATATAAGAAAATTTCAAAATTTTCTAGTGAAAAATGACTGCAGAAAAAGTTCTCGAAAATTGAGTTATTTAAGGAAAATTCACCCTTTCACATTTAAATTTTTTTTTGGAAAACTGGCAAAGGGAAAATTTTGAACATTGTCCAGGAAAAAGACAAAAGAGAGGAGCTCATTATAGGGAAATTTCGAAATTTTCCAGTGAAAAATCACTCCAGGAAAAATTCAAAGAAAATTAACTTAGGTATTTAGGCAAAATTAAGGAAAATTGACCCTCTTACATTTTAATTTTTTTCTGGAAAACTGACAATGGGAAAATTTTGAAATTTTTACAGGAGAAAAAGGAAAGTGAGGAGCTCATTAGAGGAAAACTTCAAAATTTTCCAGTGAAAAATCACTTCAGGAGAAATTTATTTATATATTTTTGGATAACTGAATAAACTCTATTCTAAGTTAAAAAATGTATTACAAAACAATAATTCCGAAGGTGCTCTTCTATGAATTAATCTATGACTCAACTTTTTCTCTAAGTTATGACGTCATCGATGAGGTAAGTAAAAACCTTCGTGCTGTAGCACTTCTCAAATTTGGAGCCTAGTAGCTAGTAGCGCTTATCAAGATCAATCAAACATCAAGAATAATGAAAATATGTGGTATTTTATTATGCCTCCATCTCTTTCTTTTTCATTGAATCTCTTATAATAAGTATCATTATCTCATTATCTTTCTCTTATTATTCCATTACTTTATTTTTCTTTCTTTTTAACTTATTAGTAATTAGGTAAATTTTTTATAACTATATTTTTGTTGCTTTTGTATTAGTTTTGCAAATTTCCAATTTCCTACTTTATATTCGTTTTTTTCTTACTTATTGTGTTTTCTATGTCGTCTCTTTTTAATTTCAAGTTCATTATTAAATGACTCGAATGCCAGGAATAAGTACTCAAAAATTAACGTCACATTTTAATTATCCCACTTTATCTCTGTCCCTTTCTCACTTATTCAATTTTCTATATCGTTATTTCTTACTTTATTATTTCAGGCTCTTGATTAGTTGGATTCAGAAATCATAAGGTTATTCAAAAGTTACAATTTTTTCATCCTCTCTTTCACTCATTTAATTCTTAAAGCAATTTTTGTAAGTTTCATTTAAAAAAATTTCATCTCCTACTCTATATCAGTCTCTTTTTTACTTATTGTCTTTCCTGCGTCGTCTCTTACTCTTTTATTTTAAGCCCATCATTGAGTCACTGGAGTGCCAGAAAAATCCAAAAATGTATGTGACATGTTTTTATATCCCACTTTATTTCCGTCTTTTTCGCACCTATTTAATTCTCTATATCGCTGCCTCTTACTTTATTATTCTAAGGTCTTGATTGGTTAGACACAGGACTTACAAGATCACTCAAACGCCAGGAATAATGCAAATATGTGTCATTCTATTATGCCTTTTTCTCTTTCTTTTTCATTGAATTTCTTATAGCATTATCTTTCTCTTAATATTTTAGGGTTTTGATTGGTAAGACGTAGAAAACACAAGTAGTTTACTCAAGCGCCAAGAACAATCAAAATTTTTTATCCTATTTTATATCCGTCTCTTTTTATCAAATTATGAATAAATAGTTTTTTTCTGTGATGGGAAAAAAGTAGACTTTTTGTACCTGTTGACAGGGGCAAAAATGTCACTTTTTCTCCCATGGAGAAAAAATTGATTTTTTTTCCCACAGGAAAAAAGTAACAGGTACCAGTCAAATTTTTTTCTCAAAGGGAATAATGTATAGATGAAAATGGTGGGATTTTCCCGTCACAGAAAAAAATAGTGTATTATACATGGGAAAAAAGTAAGATTTTAGCGCTTGCTGTGTTGTCCAAAGACAAAGCACACCTCGCGCTAAAATCTAGTACTTTTTTCCCTTGTATAATAAATAACTATTATTGTACGGGTGGGCCAAATTGGATACTTTCTTATGGAAACACCCTTTATTTTTAGAGATAGAAAAAAATGGACCCCCCACTCTGAGGCTCAAATTTCATGAAATCTTAATTGGTACAAACCGCATTTTGATATCTTCAACCGTTTAGCCGCTAGAGGGCGATTCTCGATTTAGAGCAATACTGTAAAGCCTCCATAACTTTATTGTTTATGAAAATAATTCATTTCCGTAAAGACCTTTTGGAAGCACTTTTTCAAGCAGAATTCAGCGACATTCTCAGTTTTTTTCTGTCTGGCTTCGATTTCGAGATATTGACCAAAATCCGATTTTTTTCAATAGGACACTCTATATATTAATAGTTCATTAGAAAGCTATACTTTCGCTGATTTTAATGATACAAGGTTTGATAGGTTTATCTCTAACAGTTTTCGAGAAAAAAAAATTATTTCGGTTTTTGTCATAAGAAACAATGTGTTGGAAAAGGACTTTATCTCTGTAAGGAAACTGAGAAAGGTCTCTTTCTTACACATTGTTTCTTATGACAAAAACCGAAATAATTTTTTTTCTCGAAAACTGTTAAAGATAAACCTATCAAACCTGTATCATCAAAATACGCGAAAGCATAGCTTTCTAATAAACTATTAATATATGTATAGAGTGTCCTATTGAAAAAAATCGGATTTTGGTCAATTTCTCGAAATCGAATCCAGACAGAAAAAAACTGAGAACGTCACTGAATTCTGCTTGAAAAAGTGCTTTCAAAAGGTCTTTACGGAAATCAATAATTTTCATAAACAAAAAAGTTATGATGGTTTCACATTATTGCTCAAAATCGAGAATCGCCCTCTAGCGGCTAAACGGTTGAAGATATCAAAATGCGGTTTGCACCAATCAAGATTTCATGAAATTTGAGCCTCAGAGTGGGGTGTCCATTTTTTTCTATTTCTAAAAATAAAGGGTGTTTCCATAAGAAAGTGTCCAATTTGGACCACCCTGTACAGGCAAATTAAGAGAAAAAATCAAAATTACTTTGATTCTACTTTATCTTCCCCTCTTTTCAACTCATTATTAAATCTCCTATAGCTATTTTTGTTGGTTTCGTTTTACAAATTTCTATTTCCTACTTTACATTCGTCTCTTTCTTACTTATTATGTTTCCTATGTCGTCTCTGTTTAATTTCAACTCCATTATTGAGTCAATTGAACTAACCCAAAAATTATCGTCAGATTTTTTTATGCCACTTTATCTACATCTTTTTCGGAGTTATTCAATTTTATGTATTGCTGTCTTTTACTTAATTATTTTAAGCTTTTGATTGATCGAAAACAGAAAATACAAGATCACTCAAGCGCCAGGAATATTGAAAATATATAATGTCATTCTATCTCTATCTCTTTCTTTTTCATTGAATGTTTTATATAATTATCTTCCTCTTATTATTCCATGCTTTTGATTGGTCAGACACAAAAGTTACAAGCACCGAAAATAATCAAAATTCATGTCACAATTATTTTTATCCTACTTTATATCCGTCTTTGTCTTACTCGTTGAATTTCCCATAATATCTTCGTCTCCAATTTTATTATTCCAGAAAGACAATGACAAGTATTAGAAATTCAATGAGTATCTGAAAGTAAAAGAGAGATGAAGATAAAATAGAACAAAGGCCTGAAATATAATAAAATAAGAGACAAAGATATGAAAAATTTAACGAGTAAGAAAAAGATCGATATAAAATAGGAAAAAAAAAAAATTGTGACGCGAATTGTGATTATTTTCGGGGTTTGAGTGTCCTTGTAACTTTGTGCTTGGAATAATAAGAGAAAGATGATGATGTAAGTGATTCAAGGAAAAGAGAGAAAGATGGAGGCATACTAGAATGAACATCTATTGACACATATTTTCATTATTTCTGTCTTGTAATTTTTGTGTCTGGCCAATCAAGAGCCTGGAATAATAAATAAGACAGTGATATGCAAGCGAGAAAGAGATAAAGTGGTATAGTGACACTAATTTTTGAGCATTGCGTTCAAGTGACTCAATAATGGGCTTAAAATAAAAGAATGAGATACAACATCATAGGAGACATAATAATTAAGAGAGAGACAAATATTGAAGACATACAGAAGTTGAAAAGTTGAAAGAAAGTGAATTTGTTATTAGGAAAACTTAAAAATTGATGAAAGTCTTTGAATTTTTCTGTAGTTTTCCTGTCGCACTTTCTACAATCTTTTAAAACTCTGGGCTGGGACTCACGTCATTCCCCTCACTATGGCACTTGCTGTTTTCTTCTCTCTTATAGAAATCAATGGAGAGAAAACAGAGATATTGATAGCTATTCGTTACAGAGTCCCAGCCCTGGTTAGCAATGAAATTAAAAACCAAATTAGAAAAAATTTAGAGAAAACAAAAAAATCAAGATTCTGGAATAAATTCAGCAAGTGCGAAAGAGATGAATATTAAGTACCTAACTTGCTTTAGGTTATAAATAATTTTGACAGGAACTTGGATTATTCTTGGCGCTCGAGTGGCCGTGCCTGATGAATCAAGAGTCTGGAATAATGAGATAACATCATAAGAAATTAAATGAAAAAAAGAGAGATGGAAGGATAATGGAATGACACATATTTTCATTTTCTTGACGCTTGAGTAACCTTGTAATTTCTGTGTTTAACCAGTCAAAAACCTGGAATCACAAGGATTTTAAAAATGAATAAGTGAGAAAAACATAGATTAAAAAAGTGATTCTATTTTATCTTCCTCTCTCTTTTACATAGGTACATTGATACACATTTTGCCTTATAACTTTGTTAATTTCAATCCGATTTCAACGTAATTAGGCTCAAATTGAAGCCAATTAAATCTTCTACAAATAAATCATTTCAATGCAGCTTCAATAATTTCATAGCTGCGATGCCTCAAACAAAGTCATTTGATTTTTCCAACTCCCAACCCTGTTGTAACCTAACCCTACTTTTTTTCCAATTATTTATTACAAAACATTAATAGTGTATATTGATAAAAAATACTTACAATTCTCGTAGAAAATCTTGGAGGAAATCACCGTCAACGAAAACACTAGACCCAAAAGGGCCAAATTCCGCTCGTTGAGAAAGGGGCCCTTCTTGTCCACTAATCTACTTTTCGGTGTAGAATTGAGGCCGTTTTTATACCGATTATTGAGCATCTTAATATCGGACTTCGTTGTTCAATTAATTAAGGCGAAAATCAAATTAAATTTAATAATAATTTACAAAAATATTGACTTACCTTTTATATTTAAAGGGTCAGTGAGTGACGTCACCACTGTTGTGTAAAGTAAATGTAAATATCAATAATGAAGTAAGCAAAGACATACGTTAAAGTGATTTATTTAAAATGTAACTTTACTTATTTAGTATTAAATTAACTTATTTATTAAATTAATTTGTTTCATTTATTATTGTTTTATTTATTTAAATAATTATAATTGTTTTTCAAGTGTGGATAACTTGATTGTAATAATTTAGAACTAAGGACGTATGTCCTAGCAAGATTAATAACTAACAATGTTGCCACAGTTTGCATGAATGCTTCAAATATTTTGTTTGAAAAAGGATTTTTATTAATTATTAACAATTTTAAATTACCTAATAACCCAAACACATTTGTGCATTAAAATTATAATAAAACAAACTCAATAAGTATAAATTTGTTTAAATAAAACACTAAATTACTTTAAAACTGAAATAATTTAGGGAAATATATAAATACATTGGCAATCTTGGGTTGACCTCCCCCAGACCGAAAAGCAACGGTTCAATGTAAAACTGAAAATTTCGTTATTTTTATTCTCCCTCGTAAGCTTGTACGGTTCGTGAAACGTTTCGTTACGCGTTGGTCCGTCATCAGGGAACCGCGAAGTTTTTTTTTTTTTTTTTTCGTAATTTGGAACCACCAAAAAGAATGAAATAAATTGTGCAAAATATGGCAACAACGAGGGAAGTCGGTGTGGGCGATTTTGTCCTTATGGACAAAATCGACTTGGACAATTTTATGCAAAATTTGGAAATCAGGTATACCTCTATATACATACTTTTGGAACAATAATTATGTCGCACCCTTTTTGTAGATATTCAGTATTCATATTTCAATATAATGCCCTGCCCAAATACAGAGTTGTTTCGAAATAATAAAGAGTTTTTGTATGTTAAATGAATATTAATTACCCACTTTATAATATACAGTAATTAAATGCATTACTTAACTAGTTCAGTAAAGATTATGAGTAAATTTTACTCACTCAAGTATACTTACTTGCTCTGCTTGCCTTCATATTATAGATATCGATATCAATATCTAGTATAGAGAGTTTTACCTTCTTATCATGGAAAAAATTTTGCTTAATTACTGATAAACTGTTATCGTAGCAAAGTGCATGGGTAAATAAATTTCTAATTGATTTTGCCTGGAATTTAAAAACACCTATTTTCGATAACTTTACTTTACAAAACAAGTCATGTAATATAAAATTATATATCTATCTTTCATACAGGGTCTCGGATTAGTTTTCGAGATATCGATGTTTAAAAGTAAGGACATTTTATCTTTAAGTAGTAGTAGTAGAATCATTGTACTCTACTCTCTACTTTACTGAACTCTCTATCGAGAAAATTGAGTTTAAAGTTTTGGACAAAATGTCGACCAAAACTTAACTTTCAAGCTCAATATCCTGGAAACTTCACAAGTTACAAAAACCAATTTTACAGGGCTTATAAAGAATTTAATACTCTTTTCAATAATGCATGCAATTTTCTCTAATATCATGAAATATATGAGCAATTATTCATGAACATCGCTCTATCGATTTAAGACATCGAAAAAACCAACTTCAAGACGAAAAAAAGCCAACTTAAAACGTCGAAAAGACTTCTAAGATTGGAGAATAATTCAGGGTTTATACTTTAAATTATTCCAATCCAATAATACCAATACGGTAAACTAAACAATGTTCAAAATGAAATGTTAACGAATAGATGTGGGGTACCGCTAAGATTAGGACCTTTGCTTTATTCATTATATATGTTTTAAATCTTAAACTAGCAAATCTCACAGCGCATTATTTTACATTTGCTGATGATAATGGCCCTTATCTACACAGGAGAAGAAGTTATAGTCATTTGAAGAATCAAATTAACGAAGATTTAGATCATTTACCTTTAATGATTGTATTCAAATAAAATAAGATAGTTGGTAATATTGAGATTAAAATAAACAACATCTCTCTTAAAAAAGTTGAAAAAATTAAATATTTAGGACTATTAATTGACGATCTCTTGCTCTGGAAACCCCACATTAAGTAATCATGTAATTAAAAAACTAAATGCAATATGGTACCGAACTTATTATATAAATGTCGGCAATATCTTACGTATAATACAAAAATGAATGTTTACAATTCATATTTTCTTTCCCATTCAAAATATCTAATTCCCATATGGGGCATATGCCAGTTCAACCAATTTGAATGATATTTAAGATTAAGTAATGGAAAGAGTTGTGAACAATCACCTAACCAAGTACTTGGAAAAGTACAAAATTATCAACGATAAGCAATACGGATTTCGAAAATATAGGTCAACTGGCGATTTACTTACATACGTCACTCACTTATGGCAAAAAGCGATTGAGTTGCGGGGTGAAACAAGAACAATTGCCTTAGATATATCTAAAGCATTCGACAAAGTTTGGCATGAAAATCTGCTCAACAAGCTCAAAGCAATGGGATTATCGCCGAAACTTTGCACTTGGTTTGAAAGTTACCTAAAGGACAGATCCATTTATGTTGCACTGGATGGCCAGAACTCCAACTCTTACCAAATAAATGCTGGTGTGCCACAGGGAGCAATCCTTTCGCCAACTCTTTTCCTGATTTACATAAATGACCTCATAGATAAAACAGTAAATCCACTTTATTGCTTTGCAGACGATGGCAATGTAGTCTCCTCACTCATACCACCCACAGGTCTTTCCGCACGTGAATTCGATCATCTTAGACTAACTCAAATATCGCAGATAAATAACGACCTGGAGATAATAAAGGACTGGAGTAACAAAAACCTTGTACAGTTCAACGCGCAGAAAACCCAAGCAGCTCTGTTTTCAAAAAAGACCAGCACCGGTGAGCCAAACATCATGCTATCTGGAAGTGCTGTCACATTACAGAGTAAGTTGAATATCTTGGGGGTTACTGCAGAGACCAACATGTCTTGGCACAGTCACGTGGCAGATATTGCTAAAAGCGCCTCCCAAAAGCTGGGGGTGCTATTTCGTACAAGACATCTCTACACATCAAGCCAATTGCTGACACTCTACAAAGCCTAGATTCGACCAACTATGGAGTACTGCTCACATATATGGAGTGCAGCACCCAAACATACCTTAATGCTTTTGAACACCGTGCAAAAACGAGCTATCAAGCTGATCAATGACCCCGCACTTACTCGTAACTTGGATGGTCTCGAACATCGCAGATCTGTGGGCGATTTATCTCTCTTCTACAGGTACTATCACGGAAAAAAAAAAAAAACAAAATTTTAAAGGTTCTTTTTAATTACAATATACTAGCTAACACAGAATATTTATATACACAACTTAATGTGTATAAAATAGAAATGTTACTTCAGCTTGAGCAGTGCAAACTGATGTATAAAATAAAACATAAACAACAAAAATGTAACTCCAGAGCTAGTTTTTCAGAATGAAATACATATTTACGGCACAAGATATTAGTAATAGCAGAATAAATATTGGTCTTCACTCCCCCTTGCATTCTGCATCTAGGAGTTACAATAATTTACCTAATAATGTTAAAGAGGTAGGTACAAAACTTTAGTTAATTTCATACTAGGAAACTCAAAATTCACTTAGGTTCTGGGAATAACTTAATAAATAATATTTGTTTCATAAAAATATTTGAAGAAAAAAAAATGTTTGTTAACTTTAGTAAGATTTAACCATCACCATTTTGTTATTAATATTAATATTTTTGAGACCAGTTTTTTATATACATTGATTTAAGATTATGAAGTGTGGTAAAGTTGGGATGTCTACAAACAGTGAAAATTCAAAAGATACTTAATTCTACTTATCTACTCAATTTTCCTTAAATTTCTGCTTTCCAATTCTCAAATTTTTCTGTCTGAATATTTGTCTATTCCCGGTTCTTGAATTGTTTTCTTCCTAGAAACAATTAAATTTCTTTTCTTAATTTTTTAATTTTTCCATCTCAATTTTTGTCTTTTCCCGGCTCTTGAATTGTTCTTTCTAAATATCTCTACATAAAGAAAATTCAAGAGCCTTGAATAGAAACAACATAGGTATAGGTACTTGAATCTACTTATCTACTCCATTTTCCCTTTTAATGTCTGCCTTTCAATTCTCAAATTTTTGTCTATATTCCCGTTACTCTTAATACATTTATAACATCCGGTTTATTCACTTTCTAATAAACTGTCAGGTAATGCAATCTGATGGATTAAAACGCAATATGTAATCTTATTGGTCAACCAATTTTCCAGTGATCAACAAGATTAAGATCTGTAAATTTACCTTGCAAATAGTTATTAACAAGTTTATCTCAAGATGAATAAACCGGGCCTAAGATAGGGAACATTTGGATGTTAGCGAATAGGTACAATGTTAGTAAAAAAACAGATCTGCGAAAAAGTCCTCATCTGATCAAAATCCATTCAAATATTTAAAATGCTGGATGATGTTTTGCAGCAGATCTTTTTTCCCATTCCAACAAACATCCCAAGTATACCAGAGGTTATAGTCGGTATGACGCCGATTTTAATTAGATTTAAGTACATCGATTAACCAAAATTCAACGTCGGTAAGAGGTTGCAAAATATTACCTACTTGTTAGTTGTTTGGGACTTGCCCCCCAAAATTTTTGTAAACTACTTATTTGAGCTTGTTTGGTATTGGACTTTAAGCATTTGGCTGTAGATGTTTCCAATACTTCCTCTTAACATTAAAAGTTGCGTTTCACTGATATCCAGGGCAACAAATCATGATATGATTATTTCTTTTTGGTAATTGTGGTGTCCCCTGGGGAAGCCGTCCACCATAATAGGTTAGGATCCCATTTGTTGCACGATCATACTATTTAAGGTAAGTGTAGCAGTGGGGCACTACCGAATATCGTCGAGAAATGGTTGAATTATGATTTGTTGTTGGGTGTCAGCTGCACAACGTGATTTCAAGTCAATTCAGCCTAATGCGGCTTTAATAGAAAAGCTGAATGCTCTTCAACTTTGCCAGACGAAATTGTTTTTATGTTTTCCAGATGGACAGTCAATTGATAATGTTCTATATTGTAACTGAAATGAAATGGTTGCGCCTCTAAAGAGGAATAGAAAACCTTTTAAAAGAGGTATCACATGGGGTAGTTTTTCATTTTAGAAAAATCATTAGGGAGGGGGGCAAGCCTTGAGTTTGATAGCTTGAATACTATCTGAGCAAATTTTTGTTCTCTACTATTATTATAACCAGTGAAAGTTTCAAAAATAATATTTGATTTTCATTTTTATGTTATTTTGATGTAAACGCACCCAAAGGCAAATCTCATCTAATGTAATTTCTATACATAGTTGATTTGATTGGTCTAAAATGATGCTCAGTCTGTATCCGCTCAATGGAAATAACTGGGTTCACACCGGCATCTTTTGATGAAAATCCAAAAATAAAATCTAATTTAAAAGGTCGCCTAAAGACGAAACATAGGATTTCAAATTTAATAATGCCATACACCTTTGTAAGTATAACCGTATAACTTTGTCCTAAAATTTAAAAATATTTCTGACATTTTCAAATGCCCTTTTTTTAGATAAACTAAAAGGAAATATTTCCTATCGATGATTACAGGAAACTTTATAGTATTGTCTAGCTTCTTATATTTTTGAGATTATTGTCATACCTCAATGCAATAGAACGTTCTAGGCATATTCCTCTAATGTCAGTACTGATGACCTTATTTTACATAAGTAAATTTCTAATAGATAATAAGTAT